GCATCTTGTATGTCTTTTTGCGTGCACACGCTACCTCTGATCGCCAAATAATTGTAATCTCCGAAGTCTGCGAATAATCAATCCCTCGTTGTCATTGATTTCGCCGAGCCATAGCCTCTCGATTAGTTCTCTCCCTGTACTATTTGCTCTCAGTTCACCTGCCATTCATATCACTCATGAGCATTTTCATGTCATAGTTTGTGGTGTTGTCCATTACTGTTTGTAGCTCTCTGTACAACTCTTCCTCCTTCACCCCTGGTTATGCGTTGTATGTAGCACTGGATAATTGTGACCTCCCTCCCTTCCTTCTTTCCTTTCGAGTTGAATCCTGCTGTCATGATCATGCAGAATGAAATTGGTTCCCAATGCATTAGGATTTCGGCTGCCACTGTTGAGGTCGATATAGCTAATCACTGCATCAAAAGAAATTATGCGCGCACGTCTTAGTATAAAATTTCTATGATAATATGTTTCCCACCTGTTTTATGTGATGAAAACAGTGTAAGGCACGAACTGACTAACCAACCTTCTTTCCACCAGGAAATATACAATTTTCTCCATCCTTACATCTAATATTCAATCCAAAATGGGCCCACTAATCTGCACTCCCACTCTACCTACTCTGACACATACACTCTTTATTTGGCTTGTCTCTGATTGCATTCTCACACCTGATTCCATATGCTTACATAAGAGGCGAACAAAGTACATGTGTAGATGTGCTTCGATAATTTTGTTGAAACTCAGGAAAGAATAATGTTGACAAAGCCTTTCAGGTCGTTGATTGCATTCCTACTGTGTATGCATGCAATGATTAATCTTGTGACTTAAGAGTACCATCTACAACTGAATTCGAAGATGGCAGTCAGTCACTCAAAATAATGTCGAATGTAAAGTTTGAGACGTATGTGTTCATGGCTGCGTGGAATGTGTTTTACAGACATTGGTGCAATTGAACATTTCGAATAAAGCTCACATAGTCTGTTGAAGTCTCTCGATACTCATCGACTAACTAAGAGGTTTTGTATAGATCCATACTAGATAACGCAGCTGTTGTCAGATGCGTTTCACAATTATAATAGAATGAAATGCTAATTGTCTCTCAAACATTACTTCCTCAAATTGAGACAAGTATGCATTTCTGTATTTTCTATAGTTTTGTCAAGAAATGCATGATACCAATTTACTTAAATTCTGGCAATTGTTACACTAATGTCTTTCGTCTACATGGTGTTTTCATTTCACAGGTTTCACATGTGTCTCACGATCGTTAGCTGATGGAAATAATCGAGAGCTAAGTGGTGAGATAAAAAATAACCGTTTAATTTGATAGTGTTTAAGAATCGTATAAAAGTTTTACGTATGAGGCAGGATGAGTTGAGCTTCTCCCGAGAATGAGAATCAGTTGTGAAGTCGTTGAGATACCGGGGGTCACTGGACAGTCATGAATCCATTATTATTCACGCGTCCACTCTCCAACAATACTGACACATTTAATTGATGATGTTGTGTTCTTCGGGATACTCGAAGCTGATTATTACTTCTGGAGCTTTGACTGTCTTTCCAGACGAAATCGCCATGCCAGTTGATATATCCACCTGAGACACAAATCTTTCCTACTGGCTCATATATATTGGAGGCCAACAGTCAGTTTATTTTTTGATGCTATTATTGTTGTGTTCAATTTATTGGGTGGGTATCACCTGTCAAGCGAAGCTGTACACTGAAAAATCTCAAGAAGAATTTCAAGTATTGGTTTGATGGAGATTTAGTTTGATTGGATGAAAGATTTCATCATGAAATGACATCCGTTGAAGAAGCACTAGTTTTTCCGTCGATTGAATGACCTTTATTCCTTTGAAAATGGAAAATTTATTACCTGAAAATATCAAGTGTGTGCAATGAAAATATTACAAAGAATCTCCCAAATTAGACATTCTTATCACCAAATCAGTCAAACTTAGTCAAATAGTCTTATGAATTTCGCTGGAATTCACAACTATGGTAGTGAGATATCATCACTTGTGTTAACACCCTCTTTCATGTGATAAACATTGTGTATCAGTGCGATTTTACGGCGTAATAAATGAATTCACCGAAAACAGCCTCTCCACTCAACTACCTGTCTTCCATTCGTTACTATCTGGATGAGGGTCATTCATAAAATGAGATATGAGTCACACAGTGGTTTGGGTGTGATCAATCATACCCTACAACTACTTCCTCATTGTTATGTATACACTCAAAGGTATAAGAGAAAATATTTCCCAGGAAGAACCAAAGGGAACATATATCTATATACATGTAATAGTTAGTGCAGAGATATTGAACAAAGCATCGAGAAGACAAATATAACAAAATCATATCAACATTTCGTAGTTTCTCCACCATCGCTTCACAACTAGAAGGGTTCACATGAATGAAATGAGGTCTATGAGAATCACTCATTAACAACAGAAGTACATACTAATGAGCACAGAAATTTTATCAAGTCAAGTAGTCCATAATAAGTACATGTTGCAATCTGTTGTTTTCTGCACACACCGTTTCAAGTGCATGTAAATATTCCATAAAAAAATTCCATCATTTTCTAGAAACCTGAATTAGATAGAGTTACGCGAAATAGTGGAACAAGAGATATCTCAGAAGTGGAGATAAGGATGCATTGAAACCTGCTGTTAAGAATTGACTCACTGCAACATGCTTAGTCATCAGTTGCCTTGTGACTTTTCGTTAACATCCATCTGCTGAGCTGCGTTAACTAGCGTCAACTGAATTGCGATTTTCGAAGTCACGAATTCAATGAAATAGGAAGCTAACAACTGCTCTCACAAATCTTCGTCCAAGGTGGGTAATGTGTGTCGCAGGAGATTTCTCAGCGTCACTGAGAGAATCCAGGAATTGTTATCCCGAAAAGGTTTCAAAGACCAGGACATCTGCAGTGCCCCTTATTTATATGTGGGCTGTCAGACTCGCATAGGAGTTTCTCGACGACCTTGTCTCACGCCACCCCACCGTCAACCTCCCGGGCGTCGCCGCAGGCATCCTCCGCACGGCCTTTAAGCAGAGTCCTCAAGGCAAAAATAATGCCTTCTTCTCCACAATTGCCAGTTCATCTTTGTGACCATCATAACCCATGTTAGCTTTTTGAATCTTCTCTAGGTAGCCGTTTCCCCCTTCAATATCCCGGACGACCTGGGGTGCTGTCTCTAGAGAGTGTCTCGAGCGAATCGACCTTCCAATCAAACTACTTTTGACTTCCAAAAGCGCGGAGCCGAGTAAGTGTATGTATTGAGATGCAGTATTAAACAATATAAATATGATAATTTCAATGGAACCTTCCTCTCTTCTCGTCAGTGTGACTTCGAGAAAGTGCACAGACTCATTGTATTCTTCTGTCACAGGTGTACGTGAATGAACATCACCGATGTGGCTCAAAATCATATCATCGTACATTACAAAATCGCTATCTACGCAACAATAGTACAGTCCCATTTCAGTTATTTCATCGTTACAACAAAAAATCCTCTAGTTTTGGTTTGAAATTGGCACTAAGCATACGAAGGTGTCTGCCAGAGACACGTTAGTGATGAATAAGGAGGAAGCATCAATGGATGACATATCTATCTGTTGTGTTCAAATTATTTTTGATCTTATCAATAAATTGACAGTGTGCTATACTATCTGATCAAAAAGCGATCCAACTACCTGTACCAGCCACTTTGCAGTATCATGATAATCTAATTGCAACGTCTAATGTGGAACAGAGTCACCTTTGAATAATACCTTCTCGGTTAACCGTGTTATTGAGAGAAGAGACAGGCATATTTCACCACCAACACGTGAAGATCTAAAACACACATGGAGCAAGAACCATTCAGTCTTTATCCACAATGTTGATCTGACTATTTGTATTTCTGATCTCACTTACCATTAATTGTCAATTTCACATTGCAGATCAATTTACAACTTGTCTTCTTAACTTTCCAATACTCCAGTGATTATTTCAATGTGTGCATACAGAGGCTTAGTGGTATCCTTTACCCCTTCTATTCTACTGCTCAATCAACTATTCTTACTATTATTATTACTATTATTATTATCCTTGATTAATTAATTAATTAGTGGCCTCAATATTATTAATTCTCAGTAACAAATGAATGTGAATATTTTGTATGCAGGCAGATAACTATGTTAACGTAGTTCAGTTTCATGAGAATGATGGACACATCGTGTATGCTATTTGCTATTGGATGCCAGTGAGAGTTGAGTAAACAGAAAGTACATTGTCCAGTAATAATAATGGTAGTAATAAGAATAATTATTATAAATAAATATATTTATATATATAAATCTGTATGTGAGCATTGTATATTCGTCACGGACAAGATATTCCGCTGTAAATAACCTCAGGTCTTTAGTTCTCTGCTTGGAAGTATTGTGAAGTAAGTTCAACACCATAATTTATTAATAGTAATGATAATAATGATAACTTGTAAAATGTAAAGTGCTTTGATGTGTTTCACCTGTCAGTGTAATCGTGTTTTCTTAACGAAGCTGAGCTGACTACTGGTAGTGTGTGAGTCCTAAGACAACATTGGGACAGGAATCAAACTCAACCCAAATCCGTGTTTGGTGAGCACTGTAACAATGATGTAACCGACCCACAATTTTGATACTGACAGTAGTTTATGCAAAGGATGAAGATTTGGTGTTGAATAGACACCTCTGTCTCCACTATAATTGTGATGACAAAAAGGATACTCCGAACAAGCAACACGGTGATAGATGAGTGCAATACCGACAGTAATAGTACCTCATATTATTAGGATTTGTTATTTCATCTTTGAGGCAATACACCGTCTCCTGATAAATGAACGAATATTTGCTAATAATACTCTGTGATCTGGATCACACAGTCATTGCACAATTTTTGATTAACTGAACGGTTTATTTTCATATGACTTTTCAGAAAATATCAAACCCAACACAAAAATACAATGAAGTTCTCTGTAGTGTTTATTTGTATACTGCAGTTGATACTAGTCACATCACAAGATACTTCTATCACAGGGAATGAAAACAACGATGTCGTACAATTTGGTCGTGGTGTCATTGTAATTGCTCCTGATGTTACAACTATGGTTGAGATCACTGCAGAGACTACAACTATGGGTGAAACCACTCCAGAGACTACAACTATTGGCGAAACTACTCCAGAGACTACATCTATGGGCGAAACCACTCCAGAGACTACAACTATTGGCGAAATCACTCCAGAGACTACAATTATGAGTGGAACCACTTCTGACGGTGCAACTGAAACTGCAGTGATAACTTCGACGATGGATACTTCTACTTCAACGCAGAAACCAGATGACTCGAAAGATAACAGTGGTGAGTCAGTGTTTTGATTGAATGTTATTAATGCACAGTGTTATTCACTTGATTACTTTGTCGTTGTCTCATATTACGAGGGCTGAATTCAACTCATCTTGACTACAATTCAGTTAGGTAGATAAATTCACATCACATTTTCCATTTATTTCAGCAAAAAAATTATTATCATTATTAATCTCATTACTATTGTTCATTGACTGGTTTTCGACTGAAGCGTAGAGATTCAGGAGCACACCTCCACTTCACTCGATTCTCTGAAATCACTCAAAATCGACCGCGAATCATATTCATGGGTGCATGAGAAATATTTGACAGCGAATATGGGTAAACAGCCATCTCAGGATGAAAGAGGTGAAGTCGCTGGTTAGACACAGCAAATGTGCGTGCAGAAAGAAGATCCAACCAGCTGACAAAAGTCCCTGCAAATCGGCGATTTTCGAGTTTTGAGGATAGAGTTAGGAGATAGATATTTGTGACATCCTGACAAGATGTACAGGTCTTAAAGTCATCTCTTCGAATAATCACCGAGATTACCGTGAGAATATGTTTGTTTCATCAGATTTTTATTTGTATATCAAATATCCTACGTGCTTAGTTTTTGGTAAATCACACTACATTGTGTTGTTATCATTTCATGACAGGTTTAGGAGCAAGAGTAATTGTGGGAATTGTATTCGGCAGTCTTGCAGGACTTGCTGTTATCGGTGCAATAATCTACTTTGTTCGACGGTGGATATTGTCCAGATAATATGTGGTGTTTCCGATTTTGTCCCATAATAATAATAATGGTTGATGACTTATGTATTTTATTTTGTGATATTTTGATTGACACTTGATTAGCTTTGGATAAAGCAGATTTCTGTTTTCTTAAACATTTTAACCTTGTTGTTTCAGCGTACTGATTATTAATTTTAGTTCTGTTGAATCGTTATTAGTAATGTAAAACAAACTTATCACATTGTTTCTTGACATAATGCTTTTCACTGATTTTGATGGTTCTTCTTGACACAGTGAGACCGTATACACAGTTATGAGAGCAAAGTAGGGTAAATAATTTCAACCCTAAATCGAGTTTAAAGTCAGCTAAAAATTGTATCATCGTGACTGGTTTGGAATGTCGCCTGGCCTCCTGATAATTGCTAGGTGTGTTAGAATAACACTAGGATATGCGGAGCAATGGTGGGGATATTATTGACAGGATCAAGAGATTCGGATAGGTGTTCATTACCCTGAAATTAATGTGGAGATTTTCAGTAATCAGCAGTACACACTCATTTTCAATACTCATTTCAATAGGCTCTGTGTTTCTACATATTTCATAGACCTGATGAGCGTATCACCACAATTGTTTCAAAAGAGATCACTGCAGACTTTCATTCCCGAATATCACATAGTCGATCTGGAAGAATGAAATCCGAGGAAGTCTGACTTCGAGTCATCAGTCAAGTAACTGTTTCTCAACAGAAATGCAGAGGAAATAGCAGATGGATGGATTGAGTATGCAGTAAGGAATTCTTTTAGTTGCATTCCACGTGAGGTCTTCGAATGCAACCTGATTCGGATTGAATGAGTATGTTCTGGTCCTGAGATTGACAGTGAGATGATTTGAAGATAAATTGAACATATTTTGGACAGTGATGGAGGCAGCTGGAAGTGACCACATCTACCCAGTGGAGCGAAGATGTGTCACTGAAGTGCTAACAGTGATGCAAAGAATCAATGATTATGATATGATTGTGGTATTGTGAACTTATGGATTTATCCCCGCCTAGCCGAAAATGATGGAAACGCATTTGTTTTGGAACAGTCTAGATTAACCTGTATTTTAGGTGACTTAGTTCGTGGGCTGTTAAGTGAAACATGTGGATTGTGTGTTTGATATAAATGAGTCTTGAACAAGTAATCCACGTATTAAATCCGGTTGAAATAAAGTAATTGAAGCTTTAACGTCTAATGACATAAGTTCGGACAAAGCAATGACGGTCATTCGTTGGTTGGTGGCGACTCGCTGTGGAATTCAAGATGCATCAACCACTATCCACTGCACCAATTGAGGCACGAGAGTCACCTCCACTGCAACGGCTATCACTTATTATCACTAATTCAATTTCGACTTTCTCGTTGATTGATTGAACCGAAGTGCTCGACTGAAAACGATAAACTCCATTGTGAAACTTAGTTAGCTGTTGAATAGTAGGAGAGTTCGAAATCTCAATACTGGTGACAGCTTGCATTATGGAAACAAAACGTAACTTATGATACTGGAATTTAGGATGACTGGCGTGTTCCTACAACCATGCACACTGAGAAATGATTCAGAAGCCTACCACAGAATAGACAGACTACAGATTGTGAACAGTTGTGCGAGTAGCAATTATCATATTCTTTCGTGAGCAAGAGGTTCATTTTAGGAACATGACAATAATAATAGTCACATCCTGCTGTTAGAAGCCTCAATAACACACTCATATTCGTGTCGATGATACCAACACTTTGTGATTGAATGTGGTGGAGTCTCTGTATTTTGCTCATATCGGATGGTAGTGGAAAGAAGTAACCACTTGAATAAGACACAGGTGACCACTATTGTCTCTATAAGCAAAGGCGCGAGAAACGTCAATGACTTCACAAAGTCTTTTAATAATTCCAGATTTAAGAATAAAATGTTCAGTGAAAAGTCTCTTCTCGGTGGCGAATTCAATCAATAAGCTGTCCAATCACATTGAAATATATATAACTACGTTGTGTATATGTGTGTATGTGTGCACATTGGGATTGTCACACAATAGTAAAATATTATTTGCGGTAATGTTTACGTCATCAAATGTGTCCAAACTGTGATGAATAATGAAATTGTAACTACACGGGGTGGTTGGAGAAGATTGCTAGATATTAATAGGGATGGCGTGATATTAGTGAAAGAGCATCGGAAGTCGAACCTATACTTACTGGCGCATATTGTGCCTGCTGTTTGGAAAGACATTAAAGTTGTACCCATACCTAAATCGTCTACTGGAGCATGTGTCAAATTTAGACCCATTGCTATTACCTCTCCTTTTTTGAAAGCTATGGAGAAACTACTTTTACTTAGTCTTGCAGCCTCTCTTAAATCCTTTAATGACCCAAAACAGTTTGCTTATAAGCACAGTAGAAGCACTTTAGATGCAGCTGCCGTCTTATATCATAACATTGCTTCCAGTCTAGACAAAGGGGCCAAATTTGTCCGTTGTGCCTTCCTAGACTATACATCTGCTTTTGACTCGGTCCCTAGGGACATCTTGTTAAATAAACTTGCTGTAAGTCAAACAGAATGTTGGGCTGTTAACTGGTTACACTCTTATTTCTCAGAAAGAAAGCAGTACACCGTGTATAAAGGGAAGTCTTCCACTTCATTACCTACTGAAGCTGGTGTCCCTCAAGGCGCTGTCCTTTCTCCTTTTCTTTTTTCTTTCTTCTTACATGACTTGCCTCAGTCCGATGAAATAAATTTTGTGAAGTACGCTGATGATTTAACTGTTTCAATGGCTGTTAACTCCCAGCTAGATTGTACCAAAATAAATAGCTTTCTGTCGGAAGTCAGTAAATGGTCTGAGTCTAACGGTCTTAAACTGAATCCTTCTAAATGTCAAACTGTTAATTTCAGCTTAAGGTGTAAACGACAGTTAAAAGAAGCCGTCGATTCTTATGACAGTTGTAAGATTGATGACAATGATATAGGAATTAAATCAGAAATTAAGTATCTTGGACTTATTCTCTCTTCTGATCTCTCCTGGTCTTCCCATGTCTCAGCGATCTCCAGTAAAATATTCCGCCTGACATTTTACATTAAGAAGTTAAGGCACTGGGGTATAACTCAACCCCTCCTCTTACAGTTTATAAACTCTTGCATCCTACCTATTCTTCTTTATTGTTCACCCTTATTCTTTCCTGGTTTGCTTAAAAGGGACTTTGTCACAATTCATAGAATGCTGAAGACTGTCAGCAGAGTGAGTGGTGTCCCAGTGGACTACATAGTTAACGTCGTTGTCGATAGGCATTTGACTTCGTGCAGTATATTTGCCAAAGGGATTTTGTCTGACTTGGAGCATCCACTTCACCCTCAGCTTTCACCTTGCATCTCCTCAGGTAGAACGAGAAGTAACTTCAGAAAACTGTATGCTCGCACATCTAAGTATCAAAATTCTATGATACCATACTTGGCACGTATTTTATGTGATGAAAATAGCGTCAGGCAAGAATTGATTAACCTTTTTTCATCTAGTAAATAAACAATCTTCTCCATCCATCCTTATATACCTTCAAGTTTTACTTTTATTATTTCTATTATATTTATGGTCCTGTTGCTTCTTGTTCTCACTTTCATAACTGCAAACACCAACTTATCTCTATGACTGCTGTAATTTTTGTTTTTCCCCTCACCATATCATGTAAAGAGAACATCATATTCAATATTTTTAATCATGCAAGGATTCGTATACCGCATCGACAATACTGTGTGAAACAAGCCGACGGCAATTTTCACTTGTATTATTATTATTATTATCATTACCTTAGCTGCTATCATTATTATTATTTCCATTTTATATGCTGCATGTTTTTTTTTTATTTTTTATTTATTTATTTTTATATTAACCGTATTGTAAATGTAGAAAAATTTTCTTTGTGATTAATTTTATTTATAATTTGAGGAAATTAGATGCAATATTGTGATTAATGCTGAAAATTCCATTCTGTATCACAAGTACTGTTTTTGGAATAAAGTAAATTATTATTATTATTATTATTATTATATGATATCGTGTAAACCATGGAGTAGATAACCATTACCAATGAACTCCAGGAATTCACTTCATGAAAACAGTGTTGGGAAAACAATTACGGGATACAGTTTACCACAAACGAATAATGTAATTCCCCTTCACATTTCAAGTATTCTCTCCCTACACTTAAAAATTTACATAGGGTATAGCGCAGTGTCATAGGATACAATTGACATGGTAGTAGGTGTAAAAAT